GGGTAAGTTATTTCTAGCTATACAGTATGCTGTGCCGCTCGCTTGTCTGTGCCGCTCGCTTATCATGTACGTTATCCTAATAAACCTATATAATAATATAATTAATCTAGCCTTTACTAATATATTACTAGCTAAAGCTATTATTAAGGACTACCTAGTAATTAGCTCTAATTACTTTATACTTAGCTTAACCTTCCTTAATATTAGGTTAGCCTTAATATAGCCAGGTAAAATTTAAGTAATAATAGAAGATAAGCTTAAATAATTTATTAAGATTATAGAGCTTAGAGCTATAAAAATCCCCCTAATAGGTTTAATGCTAGCAGAACTAGACGAGCTTGTATCTATACTTATGAATTTACTAATATTAGTAGCAAAGGCAGCTGGCCGGCCTATATAGAAAGGTAGATATCTAGCTCCCTGGTAGATAGAGGAGTGCGCCGGCGCTGCAGCTTCTTTTCAGGCTATTAAAAGAAGCTTCCCTCTTAGCTTTAACTAAGATATCTAAATCGCTAAGAGAGACTTTTATTATATAGTCTATTAGGCTAAAAGACAATATTAGTAAAACCTTATTAATAGCTTCTCTAATAGTAATGCAGTTTTTAAAGCTATTTAATAATTAAAATCCTTAAGAACCTTTTAGCTACTACCCCTATAGGTTAATAATATTATCTATAAAACCTAGATAGATAAGGCCAATGCACTCTGATAGGCTATGCTAGAATAAAGAACTACAGAGGATAATATTACAAACCTATAGATACCGGTCTCTCTTCCTAGATTAATTCTATTCTCTCCTAAAATCTCACTAGATAAGGCGCAGTATATAACTATCTATATAGGCAATACATCTCCAGGATCAGACAATATTACTATTAGTCTTCTTAAAGCCATATAGCATATTATCAGGATATATATATACCGCTTATTTAAAGGTTACCTTTCTATAGGCTATCATCTAAAACCATTTAAGGAGGCGGAAGTGGTCATAATCGCTAAACCCAGACGTTAAGACCTGATATCATCTCGAGACTGGCATCCGGTCTCTCTACTCTCTTGCCCCAGCAAGGGCTTAGAGCAACTGATCGCGCACCGCCTAGCATAGGCAGCCGTTCACTATAACATCCTCTATTAACAGCAGGCTAGAGCGCTCCCTAAGAGGTCTGCAACAGACCTAATAACCGCTCTGATTTATAATATTAAAGAAGCATTTACACGCAAGAAGGTAGCAACTCTTATCATAATAGATATCTAAGGAGCTTTTAATACCATTATGCGCAACAGACTGATTCTGCGACTTCGGGAATAAGGCTAGCCTGAACATCTCGCCTAATAGGCCGGATCCTTTATAGATAACTAATCTGCTTATATTAGGTACTAAGATATAATCACCCTGCTCTCTCCTCTCCAGTGCAGTCTCCCTCAGGGATTACCGGTATCGCCGATCCTCTTTCTATTATATATAGAGCCTATCTATAGACTAAGCAACCCCTAAGGCCGGTTCAGCTATGCAGATAACACAGCCATCCTATGCATCGGCGATACGGTCGAGGAAACGGCCGCTGCGGTATCACATTCTATCAAAGAAATAGTCTGCTAGGGCGCTGCAAATGGGGTATCTTTTAACCCTAAGAAGACCGAAGTTATATACTTCTCTCAGAGCAAGCTTAAGACCGCACCGGCAATATGCTATGGTGATATTAAGAAGCACCGGGAGGCAATAATACGCTGGCTAGGCATCTGGCTGGATAGTAATATATTATTCTAAGTCTATGCAGAGAAGTAGATAGCTAAATTACAGGCTATCGCCTACTATCTGCAAGGACTTACTAATATAATATATGGCCCACTTCCTAACACTATATAGAGCGCTATTAGGGCCTATGTTAAACCAGTCCTGCTCTACGGCACCGAAGTATAATACCTAGGGGCAACCTGACTGCGGTAGGATAAACTATTAAAAGACTGGCTGTTAAGTATCTAATATATCTTGCAGAAAATGAATAAGGCTATAGTTTAATCTATGTAAGCTATACTCCCTGTCTAGAAGATGACCCTGATTGCCAGCCTCTATTAGGAAAGCGGGATACTACCTATCACTCAGCTTCTTAAAGCATGTTAATACCGTTTCTCTGCCTAGCTTAAATCCCTTAATAAGGCTTACCTTATCGCGAAGCGCACGCTTCTACCCAGGCAACCTACATATTATCAGCTCATTAAGCGGAAGTACCAAGCTCCAACAGAGAGCAGCTTTAGAACCCGTCTTCAGAGGACTAATGAACTGCTCGCACCCTGTCTATGACCAGCCCTTATGCAGAAATGCTTCAGCAAGGGATAAGATATACCTCTACAGACAGCCCCGAAAGAAGAATCAGCCGAGGCCTTCCTCCAGTAGGTTAAGATAGCAGACCCAACCACCTGGATCATATACTCAGACGGCTCATTATCCTCAAAGGGAGCAGCCAGCTATGGCTTCGCCATTCACCAGAAGGACCTCTCTATCTGCGATGGCTTGGGCCGTCATGGACCTGCCGAGGTCTTCGACGCTGAAGCTACAGGAGCACTGGAGGGCCTCAAGGCCGCTCTGAACCTCCCCGGATCAGCGGCACGGGACATTGTAGTCTGTCTAGATAACCTGGCAGCCGCCATATGCCTACGGGATACACCGTCTGATTCTTTATAAGCGGTCTTTGTTAAGTTCTAGGCGTTAGCTGCATTATACGGAGCGATATAAGTATGCTGGATACCTGGCCATACGGACATTCCCGGCAACGAATAAGCCGATAAACTAGTAAAGGCAGCGTCCTCGCTGCCAGAACCGGAAGGCGCTTAGCCGATGCTAGCATACTTACAAAAGGTGGCGAGGTAGAAACCAAAAGAAGCTTTCCGAAATATGGTGGGCAACCTCTGTTCCCGAGTAATATAAGAGATTGAATCTTAAGGCGACTATACGCTGCCCACCGGAACTCTCGCTCCCTCGGGCTGCCCTGCACCATCTACTCGCAGCAAGGTCCCTCCATGGAGATTTCGCTGCATACCATGAACGATTCAACCACGACGACGCGCAGGTGACTTGCTCATACAGACGACGCAAAGCACCTAACTATGTCTTCTACTGCAGGAAAGTACCGCGGCGGTGTCGAATAAGGCTCGTCCCCTCGCCGACTGCGGCGGTCAACCTCGCAATAGGAAGGAACTTCGACAAGTACATCAAGTTGACCAAGTCAAGCGCCTTCGAAAGGATATGCACTCGTTACTAGACGAGGCAGATCGGAGATGCATTTATGTCTCCTCCTCTCCTTCTATCTTCCTTTCCCTTCTGTTTCTTTGTTTCTTTTCTTTATTCTCATGGGCTCGGCCGCCTCGTGCGGTCATGCCGGCGCCCTCTTCCCAGTCTCACTAAAAACTGACCGATATAGCGGCTACCGCTATGATAGCCGCACCTGGTCATCCCGCTGACGGGTAACAGGCTCGACAGGACGCGCCTTCGAGCCGATGATATGCTGGATAGTGGTCTGTCCTGTAACTTGCGAAAGCTTTACGTAGATTTTAGCACTAGAGACTCTAGCTCAGCACGTCCTGTGCCCCAAGACGGGACTTTACGGGCCTCACGGCCCCCCGGACGAAAAATATACATACATACATACATACGTCTTCTTACTCCGAAAGGAGATTGGCGGCCCTAGGCCGCAAGACGGAAAATACTAAACAAACAAACAATACAAGAGCCAGGGCATTAAAACAGGCCAGAGATGAACCGACGCAAAACCCTCGAAGCTTCACAAAATCAGTGTTTTCCACTACAGGAACACATGCCATTCCGAGTGATTCCAGAACTGATTCTTAGCCTGGGAGTGACAGATCAAATGAAGCTAATGGGTGCTAGTCAGGGCCTGCAGACGAATGTCACCAAGGGTTGAGTAAATCCACAATTTGTAAACGGCATCAAGCAATGAGCTCAAGGTTAGTTTGCAAGCCACAAACTTTAGCCGTTCGCAGGACTTAGGGGCTCCAGTTGTGGATGACGGGTGCCAGGGAACTATGCGCCACCATGCACCTTCGGCTGGAGAGTCAGTCACAACTGGCAAAAATGCTAAAATCTGATCCGAGACCCCGTAATGCAGGTCAAGTGTGATGATATCTTAGCAAGCTAGGGGAAACCAATCAAGGAGTCTTCCGGTTCGACGGTCTGGTAGCATGTGCGCCTCGTGTTCTTGGCCAACTCTGCAAGCATACGAGACGGCTTTAGTCGGATAAACCGGGAAGGTGCCTAAATTGATGAAGATATGATCTGCAGGAACCGCGCCGTTAGACGGATCTGTCAGAGGGATTCTAGATTACTACATGCAATGCAATCTGGATTGTCGGTTTTGAGGATGTTCTTGATAGACTTGTATTCTGATGGCCAGACAATCAGAGAACCATCCAGGCGCTCTTCCACACCTCGAGACCTGTCATCTGCCAACTCAAAACCAGCTGTTTCCGCAATTATCCCACAAACGCCAAGGCTTTGCGAACCCAAAGCTAATAACCGAGCTAATACAACAATGTCAAAGCGCCGCTCTCAGCCTTGACCAATACTACCACAGCATCACGCTTCCCCGCCATCGCCACCTCTGCTCTATTGGAACATTTTAAAAGGCGTTTTGTGGCAGTTGCGCCTCGGCATGGATGTTGACTCGATTAATCCCAGTTCCAAACATGTTCCCGGGGCCGTGGCGTACAGCCCTAAACGATGACGTCACCAATAACACCAAAAGATCGAGTCAGCTCCCATTTTCCCCGCATTTCTCACCCTGAGAACTCCGGATCCCTACATACCATGTCCCGCTAGAGAAGAAGGACGAGACGAGCTTGACACGCAAATCAGGAGTTCATTTATGTCGATAGGCGTCCGCGCTTTGAGGAAATGTAAGCCTTCTCAGTGATCTTCATTCGTCCTATGACGCTCTTGACTATTTTGTTACTGCAGTGCGATCTTCACTGATTTGCGAAGCACCATGTTGTCGCTCTCGCGGGGCATCGAGGGTGCCAAACGCGCCGAGGGAGGACTTATGTACAGCGGCGAGTCTGTGCTGGTCATTGTAGGTATCCATCTTCAACACTCTCGTAATGAATAATGCGCCGATGCTAACAAAAATCTCCAGGTCTGTGCTACTCTAGCGCTGTGCAATGCTGTTGAGCTCCTTGCCCTCATCTTCATGACCTTCAAGCGTCGCGAGGGTCTCTATTTCTGGAGTATCCTACTGGCGTCGTTTGGAGTGCTCCCTTACTGCGTCGGCTGGTTAATTGTCTACTTTGATCTTACTCATGACTATGTGGGCATGATCATCGACAGCATTGGCTGGGTGCTGCTAGTTTCCGGCCAGTCTATGGTCTTATATTCTCGGCTCCATTTAGTCGTCACTGATGCCAGAATATTGCGAGGCGTGCTCATCATAATCATCTCTAACGGCATCGTTTGGGTGAGACTCTGTCCCTATTTAATTCTTCGTATCTATAGTAGCTAACGATGCTTCAAGCATACAAGCATAACAGTCGTATTATTCGGGTCGTCCTATAGCCCACACGAGAGCAGACACGGATTCAATGCAGTCTTCAATATCCTGGAGAAGGTCCAGATGACGTGTTTCTGTGTGCAGGAACTCACCATTTCCGGCCTGTATATTTGGAAGACGATTGAATTTCTGAAGACGGCATTCGGCAATACGCGACGTATCCTGTGGCAGTTGTTTGTTATCAATATGATCATCTGTCTCATGGATTTTAACCTTCTTGCTATCGAGTACAAGAACTTTTACGTCTGGCAGCAGGGCCTCAAAGTGGTCACGTACTCGATCAAGCTGAAGCTCGAATTTGCCGTGCTCGGTGAACTCGTCAACTTTATTCGTTATCACGGAGGAACCCAGTCAGGTTCTAACCGTGACTATTGTAACACAGGTGCTTTTGTGGAACTCTCTGCTGTTCGCAAGGGTGACAACAAGGATTCCAGCAACAAGATAGATCCTACGCATCGGAAGGACAATCAGACTAATACGGTTATTGTTGCTTCAAAACCGATGCCAGATGATGCTACGAGTGATGAAATCCGTGTTATTACCAGGGTCGATGTGGAGAGCTTGTCCGCCTATCCCCGGGATAATCACAGCACTGATGAGTTATATGATCACACGATGGGAAAGTCAACAGAGTCTAGATAGTAAGAGATACACAAGCATCTCAATTCAATAGTAGTTTATTCCTCAGACAATTAGCATTGACTTGATTCGACTGCTGCATACAATGCAATACAATTTATTACGCCGCCGGCTTGGTTTGGCCGAAAGAGCACTAGTTACTAATGCTTACATACATTGCCTTATTTTCGTCCTCGCCTCCTCAAGCCCATGCTATACCACGCGTTGCTCAAACTGTATCCACATTTCCTAGATCCCGTATTAAACCTTGCTGTGCATCAACAGAAGTGAAACAAGTCTCCTGAAGCCCATACTGCGCCTGTTCCTCGATTGCGCTTCTCTTTTCTTATTCTGCTGGTACCCAGCGCTGACTTCAATTCAAGTAAGTCAAATTTGGGGTTCCAACTTGATTACTTAAAATAAAATCGACCATAGACTTACTTAACTTGAATTGAATTGATATACTTGAAATGAAAGTGCTGACCTGAGGCTCCAATAAAGCTATTAGTCCTCTTACGCCTCCCCTCCCTCCTAACCCACCAAGTCCCCACCAAAGCTAACCACCTCGCCCACAGTGATCGCTTGATGGTGTAGCCAGTTTCATAGATACTGTATCTCCTCTATTATCTCGGGGCTTATGCTATGCCTTTGCGAGCTTACTGTTAAGTTAGTGATACTGAATGTCCGCTTAGGGTTAATAGATATAGCGGGAATTGCCAGGATGTCGAGGGCAAACCTGCTCAGATGTAGGTATTCTTCTTCATAATCCTTCCACCACAGGATAGGGCTTAAGTTCTCTCGCCGCACTGGCCCTTGCCTCATGCAAACGCCAAGCTTATCTTCTTCCTCTATTATATACCGATCGCAGCTCTGCATCTACTGGTTACATTGACTGGGCTTGTCTTGCCGCATTGCTTTTCCTGTTGCCGTCCTCGATATCTCGGGTTGCTCCTTATGTGGATAGTGCTATTTAAAGAATTCCCAGATACTGTTTTTAGCGTCTCGTAGCCACACCAGTTACTTGTTGCTAGTCCAGTTCGCCTTAAGCTAAGATACGTTCTAGCGTAGGTGAAGAATAACGGCAGCCGGATAAAGTGGCGACTGGCCTAGTAGGCTGTAATACTTATCGAGCTTTGACCAACAGTTCTTAATAGAGATCTGAACGCATCGTCGGTGATCATCATCAAGATTCTCATCTTGCAAAACTACATCAGTGTATTCCTCTCGAGCGTGCTGTGGCGAGTGTTTCCCTCGTTCGTGGCCCTGCTCAATTCGTTGAGTGCTAGATCCTGAGAAATCGTTAGTCAAAGAAGCTTGAAGAGAACGAAGACGAATTAGGGAGTCGTACTTTTGGTTGCCGAGACCCTGAAATTCCTCAGCTCACTAATGCGACTATCAGGTGGCGAGAATATCAGGTTTTGTTCCCCAAAGAAATTGAGCAAGTACTCCATTCCAATCATTACTTCCCAGAAGGCGCCGTGGCGTCCTTCTTTGGCCCAACCCTGGCACCTCATGGTGATCTCGTGAAGCGGTTTGAGTAGACTCTGTATCTCCGCCAACAGAAGCCAGTCCTGTGGTGAAAGCTGATCTTGGACAGGCACCCGCTGTCGGGGCTCTGACGACTTCGTTTCGAGATATGCAATGAAATGGTCAATGTGCTCTCGCTTTCGAATGGCACATTGGATCATCAGAAAGGTTGAATTCCATCTGGTTTCATTATTTTGCATCAGCTCGAGGTCGATGGCAGCTCGCTCCTCTTCAAAGAGGTGATAGCCGTCTTCGTCGTTCTGGTCACAAGCCAGAGACTTCATCAGCCCTCTCCGTTGCGGGGAAGCTCTGACGAACCGGACGATGCTATGCAGCTTGCCTACTGCTCCCCGTTTCCGCCAGAGCCGAAGTTCACGCTCTTCAACTTGGAAAGCCGCCTCGGTGAAGGCTTCTCGCTCAAACGAGTCAGGGTCTCCTCCCCAGAGGAAGGCTCGAGCTGCAAGGTTGAGAATATGCCCAAAGCATCGCGTTCGATGGCTCCTAATATCCTCCTCAGCCATCGCTGGAGAAAGTCGACGATAGAGGCTCGCCAGGCATGTGTCATTGGACGAAACGTTGTCGCAGGCACCCGCGCCAATCCGATCTCGTATCCCGTATTCTCCAAAAATGTCACATATTGTCGTTGCTTGGTTATCCCCGGAGTGAGATCCCCACACACAGCGCAGGGCAAGAAGTCGCGATTGGACTTGATAGGAGGCGTCGAGATAGTGGGCGTGGAGGCCAAGGAAAGTATACGGGTTTGGAGAAGTCCACAGGTCAAAGCTAAAGCTACTCCTTGTGACCGCCTTCTCCAATTCACTCGATACTGCTTCCTTCTTTACCTCAAATCATTTCCGCATGGTATCACGCACCGACTTCCGGCTCCATGGCACCTCCCTTGCCAACGACGCATCGTGTAAATCGAGCATTCGGCGCAAGTACGGCTTCGACGGCGCCGTGAAAGGGAGATTGGCAGTGACGATCCAGCCGACCGTCAGCTCCTTCGCTTTGTTAACATTCGATCTTGCAGTAGGAAACTCCACGCAACGCCGTTTCGGGGGTGGGGGGTAAATGTCGGCGCGGGACGAAGACGAATCTTGGTTCGCATTGCCGTCTGTCTTGGTAATCGGATGAGACCTGTATCCTGTAAGATGCTGGAAAAAGAATAAGTAACGTACGTGATAAGCGAGTGGATCAAAAATTCTAGTCCTTCTCAATTGAAATTTCTATAAAAACACAACAAACCATTTAATCAACTAAAACTAATTGCTATACTCCTCTTCAGATATTGCAACAACTATCTAACATGTTCTTGTGTTATGCCCGGCATTGCCGCACGCTCCACAGCGCCTTTCTTTCGCTTGCGCCGACCTTCCTTGGCCACCACTTCTCGACGATTCGCCCTCTACCTGCCCATCTACATTCATCTGATCAATTTTGTCCCTTGCTTCCCCTACTGTCATTACCCCTCCTTTCTGTAGCCGGGTCCTTTTTGCTCTCCGCCGTCGACTTAGTATCTCATTTGCCTGTTGAAGATCACGGACCTGAGCCCTCATAAGGCATTCTCATGCATCATTGCCTTTGTTCCCTTAAAATGTGATTCAATAGCCTCTAAAAGGCAGCAGAGAAGCGGCCATCGGCATAGAAGAAACACCAAGACGCCCCAGACGCGCAACATCGAATGTACCGACTTGGTAATCCTGATGGCGGGAGAGTGGGATCACTGGCGTTGAAGTGGGATAGGGTGGGGTTCCGAAGAAGGTTGAGTTTCCAACAAGAGCCGAGCGGTCGAGGCGTTGCTACTGTAAGGGTTATGGAGTTTAATTGTAGTCCCCAATGCAAGACCCTTGACAATTTGTAAACCTTCCGGCATGTTTGAATGGTGTCAACTCGCCTTACAATGGTATGACAAAGCACCATATAGCTTGACAATCAGGTGCAATGCATGGACCATCAATATAAGTATTGACTGCCTTGACGAAGAAAGTTGGAGTTCATTCACTACTTAACCAACCAGCAATCCAATCCAATACCCAGGACTCTAATACCCAACACACCGCCGCCTCTTGACATCACCCCACAGCCCCGCAAATATCACCATATCTTCGCATCACCACAATGGCTGCCTTTAGGAACATCGCAATCGCCGGCGCTTCTGGCGACCTCGGCTCCTCCGTCTTCAAGACTTTTGTCGACTCCGGAAAGTTCAACGTCCGAGTGCTTAAGCGCGCCGGCTCCGAGTCCACCTTTCCTGAGGGCACCGATGTCGTCGAGGTCGACTACTCGTCCCTCGAGTCCCTCACAGCCGCTCTAAAGAGCCAGGATGTCGTTATCTCTACCCTCACTACCCTCGCCGTCGCCACTCAATCAACACTTGTCGATGCTGCCGTCGCCGCTGGCGTCCAGCGCTTCATCCCCTCCGAGTTCGGCTCCAACCTCGACATCCCTAACGTCCGAAAGCTGCCTCTTTACGGCGCCAAAGTCAGCATCCAGGACAAGCTGATCGAGCTTTCTAAGTCCGGCCGTATTACCTATACCTTTGTGTATAACTCTGTTTTCCTTGACTGGGGACTAAAGAACAAGTTTTTCCTCGACTTCGATAACTCCACAGCCACCATTGTCGACGGCGGTGACTCCGAGTTCAGCACAACCACTCTCGGCTCCGTCGCTGATGCCGTCGTCGGTGTTGTGAGCAACCCTGAGGAGACCAAGAACCGAGTCGTGTACATCCAGGACACTGTCCTCACCCAGAACAAGTTGCTTGCGCTTGCGAAGCAGGTCAACCCCGAGAAGTCCTGGACTGTCATCAACGTCTCGCTCGACGAGGCTCACACCAAGGCTGACGAGCGACTGGCCAAGGGACTCCTTGACTGGGAGACCTTCGCACCTTACCTGTGGCGAGCTATTTTCGACCCTAAGAGCGTACCCAAGTTCCCCAAGCTGGATAATGAGCTCCTTGGCGTTAAAGGCAAGACGGAGGAGGATGTCATTGAGCTCATCAAGCCTCTAGCCAAGTGAAATCTTGTCGATGATAATGAATGCCTTAAGTAACATTAGAATATTAACATCATTATTTAACCAAGAGCGTGCTCACTGAACCTTACCACGTATAATTTGTGAATACTGCTGGTGGGTAATCGGTTCTATAGCAACAAAGTAGAGAGATAGACATCACAACAATAACAACCACCAAAAGCTCAAAACTTCAATTCGAAACACGACATATTTCGCAACTTCACAGTTAACCCGCGCCCTAGCAGACTGTTACTCCAAGAGACGCGTCCTGACGCGACTTTTGTGGTAACAACGTCTACATGGCCTAAGAGAGGAACATCCTGATACGCTGACCAACAGGGCGAACTTGGCGTCGAGATACGGGGACCAGGGTCGATGGAAGGAGCAGCGCTCATCATATGTCAACTAAATCAATCAATCCCCCTAATCAAATCAATCAAATTGTCGAATTATTCCTTTCAATCAAATCAATTCATGCATTTCGAAAGTTGAAATAATTGATATTTTACAAATGCATCATGCGATCGTCTAATATCGAGGCAAAAATTCAGATCTTCCCGGACCACTACCCTACACCAGATAGTCACAAATGGAGGTCTACTTTCTGTCAACTCTCTCCTGTAAAAAGAATTTCCTTGGCACCCGCTGTTAGCGCTCTGCTAGGGTAGAGAATTTTTGCAGGCTAAAATGGCAATAAAAGCAGCTGTGGGGCTAACGGGACCCTAACAGCTGCCTGAAGAAAGGGATTCAGAGAGTTGACCTTTCTTCGCGACGAGTGTCTGCAACGACATTGAGCTTTGCGAGCTCTTGACATCGCCTTCGGGCGCTACTTCTCACGTGTTATTTGCTGCTTCTTCTGACCCCGACATTCCGGCTTCGCGAGCCTGCGACAATCCGGGCTCTGCGCCCCTCGACTTCCCGTACGACCGACCTCTGCAGCTTTTGCTGCCCGAACAACACCAGCAGCCGCTAGCTGCTCGACTTCTTGGGCCCTCTGGTGCCCCCTTATCTCGACGCACAGGCCCCAAATGGCTCGCTGCCCTCTTTGCAGCTCGGAAGCTGCATGGCCGATCTCTGTAGTCGTTCTGTAGTCGTGTACTACCCAGAGAACCTCTTCTTCTTTGCAGCCTCGGCTGCCGCCTGGAACTCGACCGGGCTTTGATAATTTGTCTCACTGGCTGAGACTACTAGATAAAACCGCTGGGTCGAAATGGTATAGAGCTTACCTAGAGACCGTGGAATAAGGCGACTACCTTGTCCACAGAGCAGCATTCTTGCCGCCTTAGGGTTTTCTCCTGCAAGGGTTTTCCCTAAGGATGCATGGTTCTAGGGTTGCAGCTACTGGTGATCTTAGGGGATTATGGACTTCCTGCCTTAGGGTATAGGAAGCTACTTGATCTATCTATGCAAGAGAATTCTAGGCTAGAGAGGAATAGTTCTCGCTGATGGGATAACCTCTTGAAAGTAAAGCGCCTTTGTGCCGATGATATGCTGGATGAACTAGATAGAAGCGTTGCTGGAGGGAAGCTCTGCTGAGATTAACTGTATTGATGTCTATGGGACGTGCTTCACCGACAACTACTGTAGAGCTGGCTACGAGTAGAGAGGTGCCTCTTGGAGGTAATGAGTACAGAAAACGCTCGAGCATGTATACGGCTCCGATCCAAAAGGCCTTGCAGATGATCCGAGCGAGAATCAGCACGTCCTGTGCTCTAGTAGGAGACTTTTCGGGGCCAATGGCCCCGCGGACGAAAAATATACATACATACATACATACATACATATCGTCCAAGCCTTTGCTGCTCCATAAAAGTTGCCGCACATTCTGGAGCGACTGCAGTTTGTGTTGAAGCATCGATGAATAGAAATACTGGCGTCGGTGCTGTTGGTCCGCAGAAGTTCGGTTGAACAGATCGTGAGCTGCTAGGCTCATGACCATGTGCAGGAGGTGGCTGGATTGATGTGCTAGAGATAGTATCAATATTTGGAATGGGTTTTCCAGCTTTTGGGAAAGGACTCGATGAGGGGACCACTCTTGTGTATCTATCACCTTGTTAGTCGGGATTAGTACCGATATTCCAAGGCTTATAATATTGCAGCAATGTGCCATCATTGTGCTCCAGACTTGGCAGCGAACTCAATGGCGCCGGTAGGGAGAGCTTGAGCGCTGCCAAGGGTCCGTCAGCCGGTTCATCAGGCGTTCTACTCGCATCCTCGTAGGAATATCGTCGCACCTCATCTGCCGTTGTGTGCAACCACCGCAACCTACCTCGCGGAACCGGCAGTAAGTAATATGTTGTCTCTGGCGTGCGGTTGTGTTGTGCCGCTCTCCCGGATGCAATCCCGGCACACCTCATCTCGTCCTCCCATTGAAGCCGAAGGCCATAACTGCAGGCCAGTCCCTGTCGGACGCACCGACTACACGAGGGATGTTCTTCTAAGAGACCGTATGAAATGGGTGACTAGATTTCAAGGGAAGGTCGATCCGCAAGTCGCTTACCTGAGCATCTCCTCTTTTGGTCTTGAGTGCCCAGTTAGCTCATATCTCGATACCTGTAGAAAACGTCCAGACATTACTTTTGCAATTCCAACACCCTGTACGATTACGTCGAGCAGAACGGGACCGACAGATTGAACCCATATATGTTAGGTTATCGGAGAGACAGGTGCGCATCGACCTGCCTTTTCTTTTGGGCAATTTCGGGCGGGGTCGAGTGCAGGTGGGAATTCAGGCTCAGGCGAGGATATGACTGGCGGAAAGGAAATACTCTAAGTGTTTACCCCCAAACCCTAATTCGAAACTAGACTTTCCCCGCTCACGTGGGTACCTTAGCCTACCATCTAAGCCTGGATTGGAGCTAGCATCGGTTGCCCTCCTCGACTAACCTCTTTCGTTGTCATCTGCACTAGGAGTTTGAGTCCCGGCGCATCGACCTGCCTCAGGATGTTTGCGCCCCACAGGGCAACATAGGGCGCCACCACTCAAATGTTCTTTTAGTCACCAATCATAGATTCTTTTTAGCAATACCCCTAACTTAAATCAGAACTCTGACATGAGATGATCGAGTAGAGTACACCCGTCATGTTTATGTATATTTTACCTCTTGGAGCTCGAGCAGCCACATACAACTCTTCTTCTTTGTTTCCGTGTCCATCAGATTCATGCCCATGAATTCTGCCCTTTACAGAACATCATCCACTACTAAGATCCGCTATTCTATTATCAGCCCGGTGATTCTCTCTGTTGTATCTCTGCAACATTTTTGTTCATTCCATATCTATCAAGCCATGAGTGGACCAATCAAAACACAGAGCATTCTGGACAACGCACGCATAGCGCCTGAAATATTTAAGCTGCGCCCGGATTATCGAGCCCTCCTAGTACAAGCCGAGGGCATCCCTCCAGGGCCCAGCGACGCAGCCAGTGAGGCCATGTTGAGAGAAGCAGAGGAACACGTCAAGAGCCTCACGTCGACCCAATCCGTCATTGAGCTCCCCCATATCGCAGCTTGGCGAGAAGCTTACAAGGCCTTCGGCGCCAAGCCCCAGCGCACCCGCAATAGCCTGGAAGCCCTGACACTTCGTGTTGATAAGGGCGGTCTACCGCGCGTTAACCGATTGACAGATATTTATAACGCTATTTCTGTCAAGCATCAGATCCCGTTTGGTGGCGAGGATCTGGACAAGTATAATGGAGCGCCCTTCTTGATCCGCGCCACTGGGAAGGAAGAATTTCACACTACGGCCAGTGGACAGCCCTCGATAGAGCTAGCAGCTCCTGGGGAACCTATCTGGTGTGATAGTACTGGCATTACTTGTCGTAGATGGAATTGGCGACAAGGTCCACGGACTGCGCTAACGGACGAGACTACCCGTGTCCTCTTTATCCTGGATGCTCTGAAGCCACTGTCTGACGAAGAGCTTGTTAAATCTGCTGAGGAACTCTGCAGTGCACTCAAGGCACTATCGCCGGCAGTGAAGACATCTTATCGAGTTCTCAGCGGTCCTGCATAGGCTAGGTTGGCTAGTTTTGATTCAGATGGAAATACATAATGTCTGTATTGTTCACTATCCTACACTCTTTGTAGTTCTTTCCGTTGCTTATCTATACTGCTCAAAAGCTAGAACCCGAAGCCTGACATAGACTGCTGATTACTGATAATTCCTCTCGTTTGTGAACTCTAAAAGCCACTTATCAAGAGTCGAAATAACCAGGCATCAAATCGACCTTAAATTCTTTATTTAATCGACAGTTACCTTTCGCATAGGTTATTAGAATCATTAACCATAGTTCATGTACATTTACTGCTTTTAAAGGTCTCGATTGGTATACTCTTCTTCTTGAGCATCGGCATGGTCGATGTTCGTAGAATACTTGACATGATTTCCAGCTTATCTGTCTAATCTCATTAAGACCTGAACGATGCTGCCTAAACCCGCACCCTCTACGCGTTACTGCTGATACTGTTACTACCACTAGTGTATATAGTAGTATAAGGAGTAGTAATAGAATGGTTAATAAGGTCTAGTAGACATCGTCGTCAGGTAATGATGAGAAATGCTCACGAAGTAACACCATGTAATAAATTTTATGCGAGCTAACGTACAGCCTGTATCCCCAAGGCTTGTCAGAGAGTGTCCTTTCGTAGCTGTGCTGTCTTCGCCTTATCCTTAATTTCCCGTCGCTCTTCGACAAGGTCTGCAACTCTCTGCCCCGCCTCAGTGCCAAGTCCTCGGAACCCTGCAATCACTCCATCGCTGTCACCCCGAGTCTCTTCCTGGCTCATCTTGAACCTGCCCTCAAAGCGCTCAATCTGAATCTCAATGCCAATAATGGCCTTCTTCATGAGCTCAATGTACCTCTCAGGCGCGTCCGACACCCTCCAGGGTTCGGGGTTGCCGCCCTTGCCATCGAAGCCCATGAGGTTAATCTCCGAGTGGCGAGTGAGAGCGTTGATTTGCGAAGTAAGGTACTCGGATGTCTCGGTTGACCTGGAATCAACATAGACCTTGGCCTTACCATAGATCTGAACGGCGGCATAATTCCATGTGGGAACGACCTTTGTTGTGGTGGGCTTGGTCTCAGCCAGGAAGAGGGGAAGGATATAGTGATGAACCGGGGACAGGAAAATGACAAGAACATCGTTCTCGAGGACCTGTGTGTTCTTGGTGGTGGCTTCTTCGATAATGGACTTGCTTTGGGGATTTTGCCTGGCAAGGTGGCCCCTCAGAGTTCCGAGTTCTGTCTCGCTCTCCTCATCTTCAATATCCAGCACCCACGGGATATGACTGGCTTGGGCAAGGGGATAAGACCCCGAAGGTGATGAGATGACGGTGGTAAGAAGACCGAGTGGGTTCTCCCGAACGAGACGTCGCAGGACACGGAGGTCTGTCTCTGCGTGGTCTTTGCGGATGTACATGGTGGATGATGAAGTGGAAGACCTGTGTGAAGGGAAGGAAACCCTTATAATGATGAATCGAGGGGTACAAATTTCCCAACTGTGGCTAGTTAAAGAGAAGAAGTCGAGAAATGGATGAGGACTGAGTGATGAATGACTTATATACTGCTGATATTTGCCGCATCTGCAATAAGCCTCCTCCCTTGGAGAATCTGACTTTTGCAAGATTGTTCATTCGTCCCCCCAAAACCCCGGGTTGGACGTAAGCGTGATTCTTTCTTAGCATTCGGTTCTGACTCATATTCTGTGCCCAAGCGGCGGCCGCTACATCGGCACCCGGATGCGGATTTAGAATTGCCGGTGGTAAGGGTGACAAGGAGAAAGAGAGTAGTGGAAGCCATGGGGTAAGTAAGAACGGTAAGAGCAAGGGCGAGGAAGACACGGCTTCGGCAGTAGGCCCTCAAATGTAACCACTTCTGGGTTTGGTTCTCATTCTGATAACTGGAGTTCACGAGCTATCATAAGCAACTGACCTTTTTTCCGTGATTACGTCGCTTTAGTTATTGTCCCATATGTATGTGGCCTCGTGTATATGCTGTGATGATAATGTGCTGTAACTGCAGCGCTTTTCGCCACTTACGAGGCTCAGTACGGCAGATTGCTCTACCAGTTTCTCAAGGCCTCTGCATGTAATCTTCAGCAATAACGCCAAACTTGTCAGCAGCCTGGACGAGTGCCTTAGCACCATCGCTCAGGGTGAGGTTAAGCGACTTTAGTCCGTAGACAGGGCGACCCTTGTGTAGTTGGTCAAGCAGGTGCCTGTAAGAGGTATAGGGAGCATGAGAGGGGACGTTGGCGTTGAGGTTGCTGACAAACTTGTAACCATCGAGAATGCATTGTCATATCCGCCCGAACGTTAAAGAATGGCTGAGCTAGCTCAGAAAAAATAAAATAGCGGATTCCTATGAGAAGTGCGGAAGAGCAAGATCGAACAAAGCTCTGCTCGGATATCGTGAAAGGTCGTGAGAGGCTATTAGTAGCCCTCCGCTCGCGTCATAACTGCCAGTTACATCAAAATTTTACCGTCTTGGGCGACGTGTGCCGGAAGTGCTTCTTTCCAACAGCTTAAGAATCGCCGTGTGCATGTTTAAGCGTCCCTCCTAGGTTATTTCAATTATAGAAACTGTCGTTGGAGCAGGCAACTGTCGCGGTCAATAGCCATTTCGCGATGGCCAATAATAGACTTGGCAAAAATACCTTCACTTACCGAGGAATGGAATCGTACTCGATTAGGGTGTAAGAGGACTTGACAATCGATGGTCCTCGTGATGGAAATGAGGCAAGATGAAGTGGCGGGCGGTCGTAGAGTGACGCGGAATAGGGTGAGTGAGCTCCGGCAGAGCTCACCCGGCTCCGCCGGATCGCGCGATTGGCTGTGCGACGAGAGCAAAATACTCATCATCCTCGTCGTACCTCAACTCGCAGGATGTCCACTTCGCAGACGACCCAACGACTACGTGAGACAAGATTGTGTGTTCCAACAGATGGATTAGTAAAACTCACCATAAGTTTATCATGCTCTCATCACAATATGATTTTAAGTCTCTTCTGGAAAGTCATAATTTTGTGGTTCTTATATGCGTCTTAGGATGAAATATCCTATCTATCTTAGAGCGCTCGCCGGGGTAAACCGCTTCCGAACCTAGACTAATAATCATTTCCCGTCGATCCGTAGAGGTGTGTCCCTCGCTCAAGAACCTCTATCTCATCCCCAACTTGAACATATAGCCCCTCGGTCTTCTCCGCAGCCTCATGTAAACTGGAATCCTCTGGGACACAATGCATGCCAATATAGCCGAGAGCCTTGGGGTTCCCATCCTCGACTATGCGGTATTTGACCAATGTTGTACTTGGCTGTGCTCTCCCTCTCTTCTTACCTCCATCTGGGATATCCGTGTCGAATCTCCCTGTCAGAGGATTCACATTAGGCATTGTGCAGCGGGATGTTCGGCAGACGACAGATAACGTTGGCGACACATTCTCAACAGCAGCTTCTCTCTTCGGTACGACGCGATAGCGTTTCCAGGTTTCTTCATCGAACGCAGGAGCACCTGTGATCCAGATGTTTGCGCGGAAACGAAGTGCGTTGAGTGGCTGGTTTTCCGCGGGTAGAAGTGCTGATACTGCGTGAACGGATGCCAAGCTATTAACGTTGACGGGCTGTTGATCCGTGTAACCGTGAACAGATGGTCTTCCAATGTATCCTAGCGGTGCAAGGTTCTCATCAGTGCGCACAAGGGTTTTTGGAGTACACCGTAATAGAGTAAGGTTTTGATGCTCTGGGATGTTAAGGAAGCGCTTGAGCTTGGGCAGCACAGCGGCTACTGTTGGTGCTTTGCCCATATTCAGACCCTTTGCCTCTCTGGAATGAATAGTAAAAGTCTTCATCGTTATTCCATGCTCCTTTTGAAACTCATCTTCAGGACATAGCGGCACAATTGCAGAGACTTCCTTTCGATGAGAAAAGAGCGCCAGCTTAAGCTGATCAAGCCAATTGAGAGGATCTGGGTCTGGGAATTTGAAGACGACACACCCTACGGACCTGACCAATGGATCCCTCGCGTCGCTATCTTCGTGCCTAAACCATAACTCAGTCTTGATCTGGGACATGAGCGGCTTGGTGCGCTGGCTGATGAAGCGCCACATCGATCCCCCTTCTGCTTCTGGTCTGGTGACTTCTGTCGCTAGAGCAAAGCATCGGTCCCAACGGAAACCACTTTTCAGGAGTTGGGCGCAGTTCAATTCGACGGGTGCGCACGATTTGATGGGATGGACGAGAATGGCCTTGATACGTATTGGGCCATCGGTTGTGGCGCCCTCTGGGAGATCGTATTTGGAGTCTGTTTGGTCTTTCATGTTGCTCGATGAGACGCCTTCCCTTCGTAGATTTCGAAGCTCTTTGGGAGTTGAGGAGACATTTTGAAGCCACAAGGCGATGATAATGGGGGTGCCTAGTAACAATGCAATTGTCAGGGTGGTAGATATCCGCGTAAGTTTGCTGGCGCCGTCGCTGAGATACTCAGCGAGTTGACTATACATCACGTCGAATTACCCAAGCCGCGCTGTTGGAAAGTGAACAAATACCGCGTATTGAAAGGTTTGCGAGCGAAGAGAGTTTAAGTAGGGCCTCTCGCAAGACAATTTCCGCTGTGAATGTCGCGGATTACTCGAGACAGTCTGCCACTGCTGAGTCTGGCCCACTCACATCGTTTGCAGTGGGGTAATGATGTGGAATCATTCACGCCCTATCTCCTCAGTGCCCACAAGCCTCAATTCCCGTACTGACAGCGGGGTCGGTCCAATTAAAATGCCTCAAACAAAAGGTACTTTATTGCCTACCTAATTTCTATTATGATAGAAGTACCAGCAATTCCGTTGTTACAAAGAGGAACCTTGCACATGCTACACCAATAATCAGTCTGCCCCCTTCTTGCATTGCCGCTATCCTCCCCAAGGGGCCTCCTTTTTTGGTCTTTTGACCTCACTTGGCCTTGCCGAAAGCCCTGACAAGCAAAGCAATCCGACCTCATCTTCCGGCGGACAAGAAGGTGCTCTCTTTGCTGTATTTCGGGGTCGGATTCGTCCCTGGCGCGATACCTCTTCCTTCACTGGCTTTCTTCATGATATGTGTTGAATAAGGCGCTGTAAATGCACTCTGCGCCACTCCCTTTGAGTCGCCTACCTCTTCCAATTTGGCTGGGGCCCGTGTAGTTGAGCAATATAGCTATTAATAAGGGCCACATCAAGAAGAAAGGTCCAACAAAGTGCCTACCAAGGGCCGCGGCGGAGGGGATGATCATAGGCATAATATGACCTCAACTGGTCACCTCGGTCAACATGATTCATTTCGTCGTTGTAAGCAGCAGCAACTGTCGGGACTTTTATCACCTTGACAGCTTCGTCACCAAAAAAAAACGCTGTATCGGCTTGGCTTCTGACTTCTTAGAAGACGGCCTCTTCCTCTTTTGATCAACTCGCTCGTCGCCCGTGAACACAGTAGTCAGGAACAACACAAGGCAGCTTTCTTTCCAAGCTATCTGGTTGACCTAGAAGTATGGCACATAGACAAATTAATAGGGATCTCACGTGTAAAAAGTGTCTGAAGCTATACCTGATTGTCAGGGGTTGGGATCACCTTGACTTGGTTAAACTCGTAGCTGGTTTCGGCCCCCCATCAGCCTTCTTATCTTGTTGTAGCTCCTTATGGATGCCGCAATTGGGGCGAGCCGTGTCTGTGGCCCCATGGCCATGCTTGCGAAGGCTGCGGAAGAGATCTGACGACGAGAAGAGGTTATCCACAAAGACGTGATATGTCGCTTTTGGCAGTAGATTTGCTAGAGCAAGAACGACGCTCTGGGTCGAGTTCAAGGCGATAGGCTTGTCTTCTGTGGCAGGCTTCTTCCCTGCGGCCTTGGCTGCACCCCTGCCTCGACCGCCTCTTCGCCCTCCCCGGCCTTGTGTAGATGACTTGAGTGGGGGATGTTCAACGCAAACGGCGCCGTATTTTGCTTCCTTGATACGCCATAGCCACCGGATAAAGAAGCCCTGTTGAGCGATAACGCTAATCTTGAACCCTAGGGGTCCGGCTTGCCCTTGACAAGTGTTGTCTCATTTGACCGGCCTGTGTAGCGAATCATGCACTCATCTACAGCTAAATGAGAGCCCGGAACGAAGATCTCCGCGGACACGGCTTGTATATGATCAGACCACTCATCAGCAGCTTGGAACACCTTCGGAAGAGGTGCGGTCTCATCGATCTTGGTGTGGTCAAAGGGACGAAGGTGCCGGTGGATGAGCTGAAACTTCCAATACGGCATGAACTTGATGATCGAGTGCTCAGGGCATACTTGGGCATTGTAGAGTTGAGGGAGCTCTACCCCACCTGGGTAGAGTGGGTAGAGTAGTGGGTAGAGCTCCCTCTACTCTACAATGCCCAAGTATGGCTCAGGGCGTTGAACACCCGGCTGGGAGGTACTCCAATGGCTCTTGATCGTTCTTTCCTTATGTATGCCCATATAGATTAGTATTCCAAGCCATATATATATTTCTGCAACTGAGGTTCCTTCCCAATTTCTTCCATCGCCGTATCATTATTGCTGGCGTTATCGAGTGTGAAATATCCTACCTTATGGGTTATACCGTAGCTTCGAAGGACCTCGACCACGTGGGTGGCGATAATATCACCAGAATGGCGGTCGACAAGTTCAGGAAGGCCAAGCATAAGCTTTCCTGGCTGGCCAAGGGTGTTAAGAAAGTAGCAACAGATTCTATACAAAGCGTGGCGATTATTCGACCTCCAACCATCGAACGCAATATAAAGTAACCCTGGAGCTGTCGCTAATACTCGCTTGATCTCAGCCTTGTTTTCCTCGTACACCTGAAGAATACGCCTGCGGACGGTATTGTGGGTAATATGCGCTTCGGTTGTCTTCACGAGTGGATTGAGATATTCGAAAGCGGCGCGGAGGTATGGATCTTCACTTTGTCGGAAAGAAGAGTTGCTGTTGATGATCCACGAGACTACCAAACGCTGGAAGTCTAGCCGATCAAAACGGCCAATGATGTGGTTTGCAATCTGCTGCTCTCGCGCATCACGGGTATTCAACTTCATCAACTCGGCGATATTCCTCGATGGTGTCTTCTCCTTTGCTTTGCTGGGCGGCTTCCGTCTTCCGGAAGGGTCACAGACCTTGTGGTCATTCCAGAGATGGATCTCCGCGTTCTGCGTATCGCTCGAGGCCGCCGAATGAGGGTTTGGCCTGCGACTATCAACACAGACCTTGCAAACCCATCGCCGCTTTGTATCGTCATCGCTCTTCTCGATATCGTAGCCGAATTGCCATATCCACGACGATGTAGACGCACAGCGTTGGGATTGCGTGTAGCCAGGGAAGTCTTTCTAAGGGAAGAGGTCCCACGAGTTCTTCTTATCCTCTTGGTCTGGCGGCTCGAGCACCATAGAGCTGATAATTGGGCTCTCAGCCATTCTACGCGGTACAGGCTACAGTTGCAAGAATGCAGTTGCATGGAGACGCTCGAACGCGGCACCGTGCCGCGAATTTGAGTCGCCGTGCTTCGAGAAGTTGTTCGACTGGCGGTATCCCACTCTCTCGGTGCAGGACGGTGATAGGTGTTATCTTCCAGACGGGCAGTATAGCTCTTATGGCTTGGTACAAGGCCTTGTTCATTCTCTGTAAGAGATGCTGATTGCTCATGGTGTGTCTCTGGTAGGCTGACTCCATCGCGGCCTGGTGGTGCCTGGGTACCACGCCTCGGAGCCGTGGAGCAGGACTGGCTCGATATAAGCTCTGACGGCACTTCGCGCGGCACTCAGAAGAGGGCCATGTATCATATTGGTCAGTCCTCGCAAGTGATAGGCGACGGCCTGCGCCTTCGCAGCCCATGTTTCAATATAAATCCAGAACAATAACCTGCTATTAAGCCAGATACCAAGCCAGCATAGAGCTGGCTTGGGGTGTTTCTTGATGTTGCCGTGGCGTACTGCTGGCGAGGTCCTGAGTTTACTGCGGGAGAAGTGCATGACCTCGGTCTTTTTCGGGTCGAATGAGACGCCGTTTGCCGCGCCCTAGCGCACCATCTCGTCGATAGAGGCGGAAGCCGCAACAGTCGTTTCATCTACTATGTCGCCTATATATAAGATAGCCGTATTATCTGCATAGCCAAAGCGGCCTTAGGGGTTACCCAGTCGGTAGATTGGTTCAGCATAGAGCAGAAAGAGGATAGGCGATACCGGTAAACCTTGAGGCAGGCTGCACTGAAGAGGGGTAAAGGGGGTAATGGTGTCTTAATACCTCACGCAGGCTAATCGATCCTTTATAAAAGACTTGGCCCATCTGGCTAGATAGTCAGACCAGCCTTATTCGCGGAGACATAAGACTAGTCTGTTGCGCATAACGGTGTCAAAGGCACCTTGGATATCCATCGTAACCAGGGTGGCCACCTTTTTATGCGCGAACGCCACTTCTATATCATGGATCAGGGCAGTTACCAGGTCCGTCGCGGACCTTCTGGGAAGAGCGCCAGCCTGTTATGGGTAGAGGACGCCGTAGTGAACGGCTGCCTATGCTAGGCGGCATATAATCAGTCTTTCCAGCCCCTTGCCGAGGCAAGAGAGCAGGGAGACTGGTTGCCAAGCCCGAGGTAATATAAGATCACGTCGCCCGGGTTTAGCAATCATAACCACTTCTGCCTCCTTGAACGGTTTCAGGTGATAGCCTATAGAGAGGCATCCTTCGAATAGGCGGCAGACGTGCATCCCGATGATATACCAGCCAGCTTTAAGGAGGTCGACTATAATATTATCTGACCCGGGAGATATATTGCCTGTGTTAAGGGTTGCATACTGCGCCTCATCGAGAGAAATCTTATGCGTAAGCGGAATCGACCTAGGGGGACAGACTAGTGCCCAGGGGTCTACAATATTGTCGTCTGAAGTTCGATGCTCTAATATAGCTCATCGAAGTGCATTTGCCTTATCTATCTGAGTTTCATATATAATATCATCGACCTGTAGGGGTAGCGGCTGGAAAGGCCCTGGGGACTTTAGCCACCAGATAGCTTTATAAACGGCGCTACTGCTGGAGAAGCTATTAATAAGATTTCGCTAATACTGCCTTTTCGCCTAATAGACTACGCAATAAAGGTCTCTTTTAGCAATCTAGATATCCTAATTAAAGCCAAGAGGGTAGCTTCTTCTAATAGCCTGGAATACCGCTGCTGCGCTAGTACACTCCTCGGTCTACCAGGGGGCTAGATATCTACCTTTCTATACAGGCCGGCCAGCTGCCTTTGCTGCTAATATCAGTAGATTCATAAGTAAAGATGCAAGCTTATCCAGCTCCGTAGGCATCAAATCCGCGAGGGGGATATCTATGGCTCCAAGCTCTATAATCTCAATAAATCGTTTAAGCTTATCTTCTGTTATTACTTGAATCTTGCCTAGCTGTATTAGAGCTGGCTTAATATAAGGGAGTATTAAACTAAGTATAAAGTAGTTAGAGCTAGTGGCGAGATGGGCCTCGATGGTAGCTTCATCCAGTGGCATATTAGTAAATGCAAGGTCGATTATATTGCTATGCAGGTTTATCGGGATATCTAGAGTATTGAGGAGGTCGAGGTCATTCTCCTATGCCCAGCCTGCAATCTCTTAGCCGTAGTTTATAGCTTGGCCTGTCTGCCAACTACGATATCTAGCATTAAAATCCCCAGCAACAAGGTATCGTTCTGGGACAGGCCATCGGAGCAGTGTGTTCAGGGCATCCCTTTTGTTATTCTGATGATAGAAGTTGATAATCGCTATGCCGTTGATTATAAGCCATAGAATGTCCCAGGTCTGGAAAGGCCGAATTTAATCAGCCAGGAGTCTTAGGTCTCATCGGATATATATTATAACTCTAGGCTAAGTCTTATTGCTATTCTACACTTCGACTAGCGTGAATGTGTCATAAGCCGGGTAAGTTTTGGTCATAGAGCAAGTCTTTATATAGGCCGTCTATGGTTTATGCAGAAGGATAATATCATATCTTTCCGCATCAGCAAGCGCCAGGGCGCAGTCGTGGGCCAGAGGTATCTTTCCAATGTTAGCCTGGAAGATACTAAGCGGCTTCCTATCGTTCTTTCGTGTTTTCGAATATCTATTCCTAGTCATGAGCACGGTTAATGAGAACTATATACCGCTTTCTCGGTAAGCCTGGCCTAGGGTTAGGATGTTCAGGCTCCTCCTCTGCTTTATAGCCCGCCTGGGGAGTTATGGCCACCGTAATGCATAAAGGTGCTCCTAATGCAGCTGGACTTAAGGCGCGATTATCTGACTGTTCATATAGTGTAATATTATCATTCCGTGGCGCTCTTACATCTTATTGCGTTTCCTATTGCGCATCTAGTTGCGGTAGTCCTAGGTGGCGTTGCCTGTATACCTCTGCACCTACTATTCGGATATATTATCGTTGCTCCTTAGTGAGTCGACGGAAGGTACCATGTACTTTCCTCGGCCGAGCCGGACACTTACGCAAACTGGCCAGGTAGGGGCCTAAGCAGTTAATGCACTGCTCCGGCGCAGCACAATTATCCATAAAGTGGTCAGTCTTGCCACAGCGTTGGCAGACTGGCCTTCTATGATAGTTATAGGCATAATGGTAGCCCTAGCACGTTTCACACTGTCTAAGATAGTCCGTCTTATCGAGAAGTCTAGCCGCACGGCTGCCAAAGAGAGACCAGTATCTCTTTATAGGCCTCTGAAATGACACCAGTAAGGTCTTGGTTAAGGGGTTGTTAGAAATTTATCGCATAGTATACACGCTGACAGGCTTAAGCCTAGTCTGGATTTTTATCTTATTGCTAACAATACTATCACTATCTACCTTATTACCATAGAAGTCGGATAGTCTTATAGGAAAGTCTAAGACTATATAAGTGAACCATTCCTAATTAGTTTCTACTATTATAGCCCCTAGTTCAGCTGCCTATATGTCCTATTTTTCTACAAGATAGTCGCAGGTTTCAGGGTCCATGGTCTATATGGCCTATCCAGATCTCACTTAAAACACTTGCCGAACCTTATCAGAGATAGCGCCGAGTTTTTAACGGATAAGGGTCCGGATTATATAGCCACTTTGCGCTCTGGCCGGAGCTTCGGCTTCTAGATAGATAAAGACATAGAGGTCTTCTCGGGGTAGGGTGATAGTCGCTGGTTGCCCCTGGCGTTAAGGTGGATTATTTTATCGGCGTTGTTGTTGTTAGTGGTTCGGCCGGCCACAGGCAGCAGGCAGCGAGGCGGCAGCAATGCTGCTATACGTCGGCTTAGATGCAGCTCCGTCGCTGGAGAGCTCCCTTTTCCAGGAGTCAAGGAAGCTGTCAGCGAATTATTAAGCAAAACGTCGCTGTAGTCCTGTGGTAAATTACTGAGCGGCTTCTTCGAACTTGGCGCAAAAGGCCTAGAAGACCATCAGCTTAGCGTTGTACTCTTTAACGCGCTTGCGCGCAAGGTCATTAGCAGATTCTATAATAGAGACTGGTCGTAGTTTAAAGATGGATGAGGTGTTGGTAAGTTCAGCTTCTTCCGTAGCTGCAGCGGTGGTGGCGGTGTTGAGTGGCGAGGACGGTGTCTGAGCCGTCCGCCCGGGTCCAGGTGAAACACCAACGGGGCCGTTGCGATTGCAGGGCTGTTCTGCAAGAGGGCTGCACGGGCTCCTCGGTTTAGGCTATCGGTGGTGTGGATCCCTAGATCGAAGGGATTCGGCGCGGCGGGTGGGCTTGTCGTGGACGAAGCCATCGCCGCGGTTTGCGTCTGCGCAAAGCGCAGAATGAAACGTTTGTTGTGCACTTGTTAAGGATTTGGGTGTAGACAGGGCCACTTTCTTAACCCTTATATGCCAAGAAAGTGTGATGACAAAGGAAGGTTCGCCATCGCAAACTTGTATGTATGTATATTTTTCGTCCGCGGGGCCATTGGCCCCGAAAAGTCTCCTACTAGAGCACAGGACGTGCTGATTCTCGCTCGGATCATCTGCAAGGCCTTTTGGATCGGAGCCGTATACATGCTCGAGCGTTTTCTGTACTCATTACCTCCAAGAGGCACCTCTCTACTCGTAGCCAGCTCTACAGTAGTTGTCGGTGAAGCACGTCCCATAGACATCAATACAGTTAATCTCAGCAGAGCTTCCCTCCAGCAACGCTTCTATCTAGTTCATCCAGCATATCATCGGCACAAAGGCGCTTTACTTTCAAGAGGTTATCCCATCAGCGAGAACTATTCCTCTCTAGCCTAGAATTCTCTTGCATAGATAGATCAAGTAGCTTCCTATACCCTAAGGCAGGAAGTCCATAATCCCCTAAGATCACCAGTAGCTGCAACCCTAGAACCATGCATCCTTAGGGAAAACCCTTGCAGGAGAAAACCCTAAGGCGGCAAGAATGCTGCTCTGTGGACAAGGTAGTCGCCTTATTCCACGGTCTCTAGGTAAGCTCTATACCATTTCGACCCAGCGGTTTTATCTAGTAGTCTCAGCCAGTGAGACAAATTATCAAAGCCCGGTCGAGTTCCAGGCGGCAGCCGAGGCTGCAAAGAAGAAGAGGTTCTCTGGGTAGTACACGACTACAGAACGACTACAGAGATCGGCCATGCAGCTTCCGAGCTGCAAAGAGGGCAGCGAGCCATTTGGGGCCTGTGCGTCGAGATAAGGGGGCACCAGAGGGCCCAAGAAGTCGAGCAGCTAGCGGCTGCTGGTGTTGTTCGGGCAGCAAAAGCTGCAGAGGTCGGTCGTACGGGAAGTCGAGGGGCGCAGAGCCCGGATTGTCGCAGGCTCGCGAAGCCGGAATGTCGGGGTCAGAAGAAGCAGCAAATAACACGTGAGAAGTAGCGCCCGAAGGCGATGTCAAGAGCTCGCAAAGCTCAATGTCGTTGCAGACACTCGTCGCGAAGAAAGGTCAACTCTCTGAATCCCTTTCTTCAGGCAGCTGTTAGGGTCCCGTTAGCCCCACAGCTGCTTTTATTGCCATTTTAGCCTGCAAAAATTCTCTACCCTAGCAGAGCGCTAACAGCGGGTGCCAAGGAAATTCTTTTTACAGGAGAGAGTTACTCGCATTCGAGGTGGTATGTTATGTTATGTTTTGAAACTAGTCTACAAGTTCAAGTGATTCAAGTCAGTAGACCTGAGTCACCTACTGTGTGACCGCCCGTGAATCCAGTGCCAGGTACATCAGAGAAGGACGGATCTGGAAAGTGTTCCCTCACTTTTTCCTTTATTTTGGTAACCAAGAGCAGTTCAGACCATCAAAAAGCTAACTTCAGGGTTCCTTAAGATCTGTAGCCAGTTCAGCTCTGGTTGAACGTTGCGTCGCTCCCATATGAGTTGAAGTGTTTCTATAGCGGTGTACAAGAAACCCCACGGGAAGAGACGCAATTGCCTTATCATTCTATCCTTGATCCAAACTTGCTGATATGCATCCAGCGTCTGGGCGCCAGCAACGAATGTTGGCCAAAACGACGTCTTGAAGTTGGGATCCTCGTTAGTAATTGAACGCAGATGGCACATCAACCCTGCCTCTAAACTCTGCTCAGTCCCTTCTGGCAAGAACCTTCTAACGGAAGGAATTACGTAGAGGATGTATAAGCAACATGCCATTTGATGCGTATACCATGAATGTGCCCGGCTGTTAATGTCAGTAACTTGACGACCTCGCGGCACATTCTCAATGTTACATGACCACGAAGCCACGTCAAATGATATGGCGTTGAACATGAGTTTCAATCCTTCCTCGGTTGTACCATATGCACCGTGTAGTGTAGGCTGGTCTTTCAAAATCATTGCAGTAGACCACATGATTTGTAAGATTTCAGCTGGACAGCAGATGAAGCTATTTCTAGCGGCATAGTGCATAGCAGATGAGGCAAATGCCCTGTTAAGAGCGAATAACGACTTCGGCACCTAATCCATAAAGGTCAAAGCAAAAGCATAGTGGCTTTCCATGTCCGTCAGATTGCGCCTTTCATGTATACAATATAAGAAACTTACATATAACAGTCCGATATAATGAAGTCTTTGAGCATCTCGCCAACACCAGTTATTGGAGGTACTTGGCTCAGCAACCAGCCCATAGCATTAACATGGACCTGGGAGTCATATTTCCCAGAGTCAATCATATCAGCCGTGACAAGCATAATCACGGCCGTTAGTACCATGTCATTTCCTACCACATCTACATCGCTGAGAGCCATGCGAAGTAAGTAGAGCGCCTTCTGCTTAGCCGCCAGGGCATCCGCCAAAGCTCGTCGGGACGGACTCCAATCGTATTTGTTGATACTTTGTGGATGACCAAACCATTTGTCGGCGCCAGGCCTGAGGACATTGGACATGTGAGGCGCGGCGGCGGTCACCACCGTATATAGCAGAAGCGGGCTCTCAGCGCCGATCGAAACCAATCCCGGAAACGGATTGTAGCCTGGTAGGTCTATAGCTACGAGCTGTGGACATAGTCCTTTTGCAACTAGTGATTGGTTCACCAACGTTAGGCGCGGAGATTTTTTAATAATAATGAACAGTGGGGATGACAAACAGTAAGATAGATAGTAACGATTGGCCGTGCTGACGTTGCTCAATGACGGGTCACACAACCCGTAGCGAGGGCCCAGTGTACCAGGATTCAGGTAAGCCGAAGATTGACCTGAAGCAAGTCGTTGACCTCAGTTTGCTAGTACGATAGTGTTTCTTGTTGCGTTGGCCTTTGTATGAGATATTACGGAAACTCCCAGGATTCCTTGGCATTGGGAAACTTTTTGCCCGCCATCTTGCCACGGCTCGCTACCGCATCTATCCATCTCCATAATTTTCCATAGCCAAGGCAATTCTTGCCTGTGGTCGTACACCTGCGACACGCGGGTACTGAACGATCGCAGCTAAGCCTATTATAACGGCAATTGTGGCAAGGTTTGGTGGGTGTCAGATTAGAATTCATGGGTGGCGGCCATGGGGAGTATGTCGGAAGTATTGGAAGTTGATCACACAATACTGGCGGTGGAAGAGGAGCTTCACTCCATTTTTAAACGCAGCTAAGGGACTATCGTTAGCTTGAAGGGAAAGTCGTAGTGGAGACTGGTCAGCCTGCCGTCCGCCATTGGGCCGAGATCGTGGTGGAGCAGGACGCCCCCTTTTTGACGCCAAAGCGATCGAGTCGCCTGGTGAGACCCACGAGCAAAGTCTGAGACATTACGCGACACCTGGAAAACCTCGCCAAAGAAACGAGAAATAGCGCCCCTCAGATGATGCGAATTGTACCGACCGAAGCGCAGGTCGACCGACCGAAGTCTGAAAGAATAGCAGCTACAAGCAGCACACCCCCTCCCCCCTAAAGTTAGAAATCACTTTCGGTGCAATATTGTCAATTCAGGAAGGGTTTCTATCCATCGTCTGTATCTATAATTCTTCGCCTCCTCGGCCATGGTCTACTCATTTCGATGAAAAATAAGAGATTAGATACCTTGGGTGCCTCTGGATGTACGGACTACATCTTACTCTCACATACAAGGTTATTAGATTGCCTACTGAGAACGTCTGACTGTTGCTTAGTCGTAGTACGATAACTTGTTTCAAGGTTCGACCTCTCGCTTCACCAACCAAGATCTATGCCTAGTTATCGATCCTCATTAATCAATCATCCGAGGCTCCCTAGTGGCAGCTACATGGATAACATATTACACGACTCATCCAGAGGGCTTGATCTGGAAACTTCAAATGTTTCATATAGTACAGACAGGTCTTTGATCGTCTATCGGCAAAACCTATTGATAACATTCGTTAAGCCTTCCACCACTTTACCAATCGAGTCAATATCTACCCATTCTTTCTTGGAATGCAATCCCTCTCCTTTCGGACCCCATACCAGTGGGACGATGCCAGCTTCAGCCAGCAGAGCGCAGTCAGTCCAATAAGGCGCACCAGCCAGAGTAGCCTTCGACCCAAGAACATCACCAACAACATCCGTAACAAGCTCGACGAAAGGGTGATCGAAGGCAGTGGCCATAGGCGGTCGACTCATGATAATTCTGAAGTCGGCCTTGAAACCTGGCACGGCTTTTGCAACATCGGCTATCAACTGGCGCATCTTGCTCTCGACAATCTCCTTAGACTCACCCGGTATAGTGCGCCACTCCATAAGGACCTTGCACTGCGCGGGATAGGAAGATATTTCTTCGCCACCAGAGATGGTCGAAGCATGCACATTCGCTGTGCCTAATGTCATGTCACGACCAGCGCCAGCGGTACCTTGATGAATTTGCTTAACGAGCTTTCCAAGCTCAGAAAGAAAATACCCTGCATTGATTATGGCATCAACACCCAAATCAGGCCGCGAGCCGTGGGCTGCGACGCCGTGAACCACCACTTCTATGTCACAGAAGCCCTTGTGTGCGTGGAAAATCTGAAGGCCTGTAGGCTCGGAGACGATCGCGGCGTCTGCCCGCCAACCAGCTCGTAAGATATCCTCAGTACCTATACTCCCACTCTCTTCATCGGCAACTGCGGTGAAGATAACATCACCACCAAGCTTAACGCCGTTCAGCTCTAGGCGCTTGACATTAGCTAGAGCTACCATGGCTGCTGCAACACCGCTCTTCATATCCGCTGATCCACGACCATGGAGTTTTCCGTTGATGATTTTGCCGCTCAGAGGGTCGTCCTCATAACCCATCAGCGTAACGGTATCGATGTGTCCGTTCAGCATCAGGGACTTTGCACCATCTCTTCCGGAGCCACGTATAACGCCAACAACCGATGGACGGCCCTTGACAGATTCGATCCAATGGGTTGCTATATCGCGATGTTCCAACCATGATGCGATGTATTGAGCGACCACGGTCTCTCCAGGGCCAGCCACAGATCCAAGAATAGGGCTTGCAGAATTGATTCTGACTAATGTTTGAGTGATGAGGATGGGATCGTCAGCAGAGACATCATGTGGGGTATCGTAAGTTGCGTCGCTAGTCATAGGGCAAAAGATCACGACAGTCGAATTCCTGGTCAAGCCAAGAGCCTTTTTATCGGAGATTGTAAGCCGTTTAAGCGCTGCCAGTGATGCAGCACCAGCTGGTCCTGCCTGAATTCCGTGTGACTGGAGATAGAGCACGGCTTGGTGGGCTTCAAAGTCCGATACAGTAAGACTCGCATCGATGCCCTGCTTCAATATGTCCCAGGATCCAGTCGACAGGCACCGCTTTCTGAGTTCAGTCATAATGGTGTGTGTTGTTGTAATCGTAGTTGATTCACCAATCGCAAGACTCTTGAAAAGACAAGCAGCCGTGTCGGGTTCAACTGCTGACACAGCCGTTGAATAAGCACTGCTTTCTGACTTGAAGTGTGAAATTGCACCTCGAGCGATATCGACAGGGGCGACGATGAGGTCTGGTCTGTAAGAACCAAGTTGCTCCTCTGTTTCCTGCATAAGGACTGAATAGTCGTAAGAGTCCTGCCAAACGAAAAGTTAAAACATGTTCCACAATTCTTGAGTCTAGCCTTTGCGATAGGGAAAGCAAGCACTAACTTGTGGTCTAGTTTGGCAGTCCACCAAGCCGTGAGAGCCATTGATTGAATCCTCATTAACATCGATTGGCGATGCATTGGCACCAAGTGCAGTGAAGCAGTTCGTCAATATTTTGGCACGAACAGTACCCACACCTATCTCGTCGGCAATCTCCCTGAGATCAATAAGAGGAGCTGGCTCAGCGCCGTTTCGGAACTTTTGCTGAAGCTTCCGGTACGACAATCCGGGGGGCATTCGCCATGATCTAGCTTGGGCGTTGAGTGCAACGAAGCGACGAGTGGACGCCATTATGAGTCTAAGGCGGTAGATAAGGATGAGATTGTGCAGAAAATATGCTGCTGCAGCTACAAGCTAAGTTCAGATCGACGTATCTGGTGATGCGAGTTTTATGCGTCGAGTTGAGAGGTGTGTTGAAATATGTATTTAATAGTCTCTTGCCTTATGGAGCCGCCTGCAGGTATGTTATTCGGCGGTCCTCGGAAGCAGGATGCCTTCCCTGTCATAGGTGTCTGCCGCAAGCTCGTAGCCACCTATGCTGAATCAGGTCAGGCTAAGGGAAGTTCTTGTTAGACACGCACGAGCACGACGGGGTGAGTGCATCCAAAATGTGGACCAGAAGAGTGACAGTATGATGGACAAGGAAGACCTAAATCCATTATCGTCTTCGCCAGTCTTTGGGAGGGGTTGATTCAACCCCTCTTCTTCTTATAGAAGTGGAGCCCATCCACAGACGCCGATCTCACAGGTTCAGTCAGGCCCTCTGAAATCCAAAGAGAGAGCCACCACTACCCTGTCACGAGCCAAGATTCTCCGATGTGTTTTGTTGGGTATATGTACGCTCTTGGTTAGGATGGTTTCCCACCCCACTTTCCTTCTACATTTTCTAATGCTAAGGTTCGAATAGATCGCTGGGGTCACAACGATTACACAACGTACTACATACCTACAAGACCCGATTCGCTAATTGTCATCAACGCCTCCTCGTCACGCATGAACTCGGAATTAAATAAGCGAAACCAAGTTCGTTGGCGTGAACCCATATGGTCGAGTCAGGTGATAAATCTTTGCGTACCATTGTCACCATCATCATCCTTTGAAAGGTAAAATTCAAGAAGGAAAAAAAAGAAGAAGAAGAAGAAGAAAAGAAATTAGTTACGCATATTGTATTACGATCGACCTAGCTAGATCAGGCATTCACATGAGCGACAGCATCCAACCAAGGCATCGGATAGCTTCGTGCCAAGGGACTCCCGATACTCTGCCCCCCCTTGGGTGCCCATTAATTAACTTCAAATCGTGTTGTTTCCAAACCATCATCGTCGCCTCCATCGTACTAGACACATTGCTGAGTGAGCGGCACCCCTTGAGCTCTTCGAACCAGTCCAACACCTGAATTCTTTCGTGCTCAGGGGCAAGACAAGCTGCAATGAACAGAGCCCATAGCGGGTACGGCACTGACCCGACAAGAGCATCCTGCCGTTCGTGAACTCGGCGTATCGCCTCAAACAGCGTTGGCATTGACTTTGTTTGTATCTCTTCCGCATCACACCCATACTGAGCCACTCGAAGATATACCCAGGCTGCAGCCTCGAATGCCGCCGCATTGAGATAAATCAGGCTTTCCGTGTCAGAATCTTCAGACCACTGCTCTAATTCACTGAGTCGGTTCTCTACGGCTTGCAACTCCGTACGCATGACGGCCGCACTTTTCCTATCTGAACCTGCTCCCGAATGATGCTGGATAGTTGAAGTTATCGAAGTGATGTTTTGGATAAGCTCTGATGATAGCCCTGTGTAAGGGTTGATCTGTGAGCGGCCATGCATTGATCTCAATATTGGGAACATGGACTTTCGCTGTGGTACTAGCCAGCCATTTAGGTCTTCAATCTCAAGCTCAGTCCCTGTGGTAGCAAGAAAAGCTTCGGAAAGCGAGAAGTAATCGGTAACAAAACGATATACTTCTGGACTGAATGGTTCGTGCCCATATCGTTTTACCATGGACAGCCCTCCAAGGGTATGTACAGCCCATTCGCTGGTACTATTCGTGGCGATTTCCATCAGACTATGCAGCATAACAGCCATCAAAAGGCCATCCCTCTCGCATTGATTTATGGAATCATAGGTATCGTCCAGGCCCTTGCTGCTGCATAAAAGTTGCCGCACGTCCTGGAGTGACCACAGTTTGTGTTGAAGCATAGACGAATAGAATTCCTGACGTTGATGCTGTTGGTCCGCGTGAGTTCGGTTAAATAGATCGTGAGCTGCTAGGCTCATGATCATGTGTAAGAGGGGGCTAAATTGAAATGCTCGAGGTAATATCAATCGTTGGAACGGGTTTTCCAGTTTTTTTGAAAGGACTCGATGAGCAGACCATTCTTGTGTATCTACCACTTTATTAATCGGGATCAGTATCGATGTTTTTGAGGCTTACAGTATTGCAGCAATGTGCCATCGTTGTGCTCTAGACTTGGCAGCGCACTCAACGACGGCGGTAGTGAGAGTTCGAGCATCGCCAAGGGTCCGTCAGGCGTTTCATCAGCTCTCCTGCTTGCACCCCCGTAGGGAAATCGTCGCACCTCATCTGCCGTTGTGTGCAACCACCGCAACCTACCTCGCGGAATCGGCAGTAAGTAATATGTTGTCTCTGGCGTGCGGTTGTGTTGTGCCGCTCTCCCGAATGCAATTCCAGCACACCTCGTCTCGTCTTCCCATTGGAGTCGAAGGCCATAACTACAGGCTAGTCCTCGCCGGATACACCGACTACATGAGGGACGTTCTTCTACCAAGCCGTCTCAGATGGGTGACTAAATTTTGGGGGGGCAGGTCGATCCGCGAGTCGCTTACCGGAACATCTTCTCTTTTGACCTACGGCGTCAGGTTAGCCAGCATCCCGATACCTGCAGAAAACGTCCAGACATCACTTTTGCAATTCCAACATCCAGTACGATTACGTCGAATAGAACGGGATTGATAGACCGAATCCATATCCGGTGGGTTGTTTTTATGGGGGGAGGTGCGCATCGACCTGCCTCTTCGTTTGAGTGATTTCTGGTGGGGCGAAGTGCAGGAAGATTTCAGGCCTGGCCGAGGATCTGGCCGGGGGGAGGACATACTTAAAAAAGCTCACCAGCCCCACACAAGGCCATTGCCCCACATAAATAATCTTTTCCTTGTCACCCGCATGACGAGCTAGAATTTTGGCGCATCCACCTGCCTTATGACATCCACGCCCTGTGGAGCAACATTACGCTCTTATCTCACCCCCCTCCCCAGGTTTTTTTTTTACCCCTTCCCCACTGTGTTCACAAACCAAAGAAGATGTGGGGAGGGAAAAGTCTGGGGTATCGTATCGGCGTATCTTCGTATCGTGGCGAAAACCTGGGGTCTACTTGGACCAGATGGCGGCACAGAGCTGTAGACAAGATAAGTTATCACTTGTCTCAATTTAGAACAATAGCATGATGTCGACGATAAATATCATTGACCTTCCACTTGTTCTCCGAGGTCAAACTCAGTGCAAGTCATGCATTATAGCTCCTCTTCCTTCCATCCTTGGCGACAGCCTTCTGATAGCCTCTGCTTCGTTGCAATAAAACCTTGAAATCGAAATACCTCCCATGATGTCGAGCTTGACGCCTCATCAACTCTTCGCAATGACTCCTTCTAGCAGTAAGTCGTTTTCTAGATCATCGTCGCGTCTGGAGTATCCTTCACTGCTGTAGGTATGTGGGATGCTCTTGGTGGCCTCGGTGTAGGAGGTGCTGCAGGACCTTACGCTGTTTCGGCCGCCAATGCAATTCTTTATGCCCTTTTCTCAGTTGTCTGTATCATCGCAGGTGTCGTCAATAATCGCATCAGTCTCAACTACGGGCTTGCCATCGGTTCGATTGGATATCCACTCTACGGGGCGGGCCTATACACAAACAACTACAAGACAAATACTTGGTTCCTGCTATTCGGGGCTGCTGCGTGCGGTATCTCTGCAGGTTTCTTCTACGCTGCCGAGGCTGCGATCGTGATTGGATATCCTAGTCACAGCGAGCGTGCGTTTTACCTAACCATCTGGGCGACAGCCAAGGCGGTCGGGCCCATCGTCGGCGGTGCTATCAACCTTGGAACCAACGTAAAGAGGAATTTTGTCGGCCAAGTCAGCGACACGACTTACATTATTTTCATGGTCATCATGTGTCTAGGTCTACCAATTGCCCTCTGCCTCAGTCCGGCGAGCAAGGTATGGCGCAAAGACGGCATTCTTGTCATTGTTGACAAGCAGCTATCATGGGCTAAGGAGTTTAAAATCATGTTTGAGTTAGTCCTTACGCGTCGCATTCTTATGCTTTTGCCAGCTTTCTTTGTCAGCTACTTCTTTGTTGCTTTCCAAGGTACCTGGTAGACGATGTACTTTACCGTACGTGCTCGAGCGCTGTCATCCTTCCTCTTGTACTTTTCCAACATCTTCGTTGCCTTCCTCCTCGCTGCCATTCTAGATCGCCCATCGCTCCCACTGAAAATCCGGGCTAGGGTTGGATTTTTAATCGTCATTTTCATCATGATTGGGACTTGGATCTGGGCAATCATCCTTCAGAAGCGATTCTATGATGCTGAGACACGCCTCATTCTCGATTGGGGAGATAAAGACTACCCTGCCGCTTTTTTGCTCAGTTTCTTCTGGTGGCTTGGAGGCCAGGGGTTTCAACAGTATCTATACTGGCTTATTGGCCAGTATAGTACCAATCTTTCCTCTTTATCTCATCACACAGGCATTTGGCGAGGTATTGAAGCTGTTGGCCAAACTGTCGCTTGGGCGTAAATTTTCTGGACAACACTATACTCAACCACAATTTTATTAACTTGTCTGCAGTATCCAGTCTCAGAAATCAGTGAATCATTTTACAAGCATTGGACTGAACTTGGGGATTACTGTTATCTGTATTGTTCCGGCTTGGATCATCATTTCAGAACTGGAGCATTCTCATGAGATCCAGGTCACCGTTGCTGAGCTAAATGGAGTAGAAATGAAGACAGAGCAGCTAGAGGAACGGGAGGCTGGGAAGAATTAAAGCTTAGGTTTTCTTATCACTGCTATGCTGATGTCATTTCCGTGGCACAAAAGTCATTTTCAGGCCATATCTTTATTCGTCATTCAACTTATCCACTTTGCTTATTTTTCAGTTGTGTAATAATGAGCGCTTAGCTAGTACCCCAGGTGCTGGCTTCACAGATTCCCTTTAAGGCCCGAAGCAATGACTGAATGCGATAATAACAAGAACATCCCGAAACTTCCCTACTTCGCAAACTTTTGGCCTCTGATAATACTCGTTGAAATTGACATATTAAGCTGTTGTTCTACTACAGCGTTTCTTATAGATGCACAAATGCATGACATCACAATGCCATTGCTCGTCAGTAAGTAAGGTTGTCAATTTGTGGTGGACATTCTTTTTAAATGTCTAGCGTCATACCATTAGGTCCTGCAGTTTGATCGTGCCTTGGACCTCTGCAGTATAAACTTAAGCTTCACAAGAGAAAGGTGCACGGAAAGCACCGGTATCGTAATGATGTTTCTGCAGTTGCCGTTAGCTGAGGCCAGTCTGGGTACAAGTTTGTCAACAACGACTTACAATGTCCATAGCGGTCGAATATGTCCCTCCGACGAGAACCAGAATACCAAAGGCAAAAACAAATATACAAGCAATAGCATGCAACAAGTTTCCTCTGGTGTACCACTTTCCCTTACAGATAAGCATGTACCACATCACTGCTGGGAAATACAAGATAAACCCAGATACAAATAGAGCCGAGCTGAGCGAAAGCAAATCATTAAAAAAAGGGATGGACTCGCCGAGTATCCAAGCGCAAAGGGTGATGCCGAACAGTACGAGCAGCCAGGTAATCCAACCTTTAGGGGTGTTAATGAAGCGTGTGACAGAGTCTTTGTAGAACCGAAAGTGGATATACCGAGCAGTAACTGTGTTGCCGATGGCCCCTGAAATGAAAATAACAGGAAGTGCGACACCGAAAGCTACCTTGGGTAAAACGCCTGATAGTGATAGAAGAGCAGGGCTCTGAACATCCTTACCGACAAAAACGTAGATGAGTGTGCCGGTAAGGGTATAGACGAAGATTTCGAGGATACCGAGAGTCCATACTGACTTCATAAAGTCTGTGGGTGTATGCATCTCAGACATGAATGGTGTCATATACATAGCAAAGCAGTATGCGAAGAGCATATTGCAGATGGCCACCATGCCGTCTTTGAAAGTCGCATCAGGGTCCGGCCAAGCTGACCAGTCTGCAGCGGACAGGCCACCAGGTTTGTTCGCAGCATCAACACCGGAGGCGATGACTGTGACAAGGATGGCTGTCATGACGGACAGGAGGTCGATATAGCCTAAAATGGCCGCTTCCGCGAACGACGGCATGATAGCCAGAATGAACAGCAGGACGCCCGATACGGTACTGAAGACCATACCACATGTGCCATCATCCGACAAGATGTTGAAAGAGATCGTGCCCGTGAGGACATAAGACGACGTCATGAGGATAAGCTGAAACACATACATAGCTCCAAACAGCTCCTCGCCAAAACGACCCATGAGTAAGCCTCCGATATCTCCATAGCTTTGGATAGCAGGAAACAGGACCTTGACTTTCCCAATGATCCATGCAGTATAGATAGCCATAAGACCAAGAGAGATGCAACAGAAAACTCCAGCGATAACGCCGAGAGTAGCAAAGGCCCTTGGAAGGCTGAACACGCCTAGGCCAATGGCCTCAACAACGAGAATCACAGCTAAACGCTTCCATCCGAGTCGTTGGAAGTGTGCTTCTCCCTCTGCGGTCTTTTGTTTCTCAAACTCGGTGACGGTGCCGGTCGTTTGATCGTAAGAGTCATCAATATTGATTATCTGATCAGAATCGAGACCAGACAAGTCTTTCGTCGTGGCTAACGAATCGCTTTGTTGTGTAATTGTATTCATGACGAAGGATACTAGTATTTGATCGAGCAAGAATTAGAAAATGGAAAAAAGTGTTGAGTGGTCTGGGCTGAGGATATAATGACAACAGTCTAGGCCCGGGAAATTATTCAAGTATAAACCTGGGGAGTGCCCAACTTCTGTAGTTTGCGGGGAAGATCTCATTTTCCCCACGCTGAGGAAATCTTTGTAAAGATGGTGGAGTAGCCGCTCCTTGCTGTACGTAATAACAAGATGTAAATGCCTCGACTCGTACGTAGAGATACAATTCAGGAGGCTTAAGTTAGATGGATAAAGCTCCCATCGTCATTCAGAAGACTCGACGTTACCGGTAAGTCATAGCCGCATGCAGGAGGTTCTCAGTGAGTCAGTGTATGATTAGTACGTTACTGCGGGGTACACAATAACGTAGTTACTAGGGTTGTAACGCTGATGAGAAACCTAGAACTGTGGTATGTTGAGAGAACACCGCAGTTACGCGATGGTGGTGTATAAACCGGAGGCGATATCGGAGATGAGGGAATTTTCAACATGTCTGTGTAGCCCCAAGGTTCGCAGCTTCTAGACAATAGTAGCATGATTACAAGATCAAGGTCAAAGCACCATCTCGTAAGATGAACTAACGAAGCGGTCGCTTCTCTACAAAGATTCAATCATTTGATCCGAGTCATCAACGTGGATACCCATAGGTAAAATAGACAACGAGGTGATCTTCCCCAAAGGTAGTTGCACAGAGAGTAAGCTAATCTTCCCGTTCCTTTGTGCGAGTTGAAAGAAGCTACAGCTCTTTGTTAAATTTTGACCTCGAGAGGGACCTCGATCTCCATCAGGAAACGCTGAACGTATCCATCTCATATCGATCCTAGCCCTGACAATCATTCTTATCTGGAACTAGTTCTTGTCTTGATAATCTTTGTGCGTTCGGATCGGTCGGCATGTCTAGTTTCATCTTTCTTTATCCCTTTTTTCTTGCCCTCCAGAGCTTAGCGAAGTCATCGAGCTTCTTCGTCGTTTAGGGGGCGCTAGGCCCAAAGAGCTTTCTACTGGGCCACAGGGCGTGCTGAGCTATCCACATTCACATGAGAACAAAACATGATCATGTCGAGAAGCTCCAGGGCAGTGAAAATGCACACTACGTTACCCGGGAACACTATACCCTTATCCCATATCAGTCACATACTGAACTACGACAAAGATTGGCCAAACCTAGCCCCTAGCTTCAAATTAGAACAGAACAGAAGGGATAGGCACTACCTTCCGAAGCCCGACACAGCTTTCTCTGGTCGGCATTTTGTTCAGCATACAACCGGCTCCTACATCTTTCATAAATTAAGTGATAGAAGCCGTGCATAGCATGCGTCAAGCCCTCCGTGGTCTTACCCCCTGAACCCACCTCCACCCATTCCTCCTCAGAAAGTAATGACTTTTAACCCCACACTAAAGGCCCAGAATCAGCATCGGCCAGGGTAGCCTCTGAGCTACAAGCCATGCCAGTGATATCTGTGGCAAGCCGGGCGAGAGGATGAGGAGTAGTAGTCATAGTAGTAGTAGTAATAGTCGTGCTAATCACGCCTGGGTGTGACTACATGATACCCGGCAGTCTTCATTAGACTCGTCCGGCATGAAGTGCCACCAAATTGAAACCCTACGTTGCACTAACTAAAACAGTGTTCCTCCGCCACCGGACAAGGGTGACATTACGAGGTATATCGTAAGTAGATCTCTTTCTTGTCAAGTAGTTGCAGACAATAGTTGAACTGTGGATCAACCTTCGAGTTTTCGACATCATGCAGCATGAAACGAAAGAGAATGTGGGCCGACAAGCTTCCAAGTTCAATGCAGTAACGTTTGCAGTTATTTCTAGTTGCGAAGGGCCCCACACTTCTGTGGATAGCTGTTGTTGATTGTAAGTTTACTAGCGACAAGTGCTGAACTGGTAGGCGATAGCCGGTGATTTCTCTCTGGGGCCATAGGGTAGGTACATACACGCTTGACTTCGACTTGACCTCAAATCTGCAAAAACGAGCGAGCTATCTCACAACCTTTGTTGTACATCTTCGGTATGTTCTCAAATCAACAAGGGTTTGCTTATGAGGATGCCGCAGAGACTAGCTGCGTGGACGTTTGAAAAGGATATTTTATTTTATTTCATTATTTATTTTTATTCTTATTATTATCAGTTACTATTATTATCACTGTTGTTTTAAGATAAGCGACCTATTCAAACTCGGCGGGAAGTGCAACTCTACTTTCTGAGAGGATAGGGGATATTGACTCACAATAGATGTTGCTGAACAGTAAAAGATTCCGTCCTGTTTGGCAACCCTGCTCCGCCCGTGTCTTTCACCAAACTACGTTGGTTACCTCAAACCTGGCCCGTGGACTTCCTCGCGTGCCAGCACCCTCAAATTTCAAGTAGGTTTGTGGATTACCAACAGAACGCGGGATGTCACTCATTCGGGGGGCCGAGTTCCCAGTTTCTATAACGTAATAGACAATCCGCGATCAGGAATCGGTTGACACGAGGGCGGGGATTAATGTCGGCTACTTACCCTAGCTCGCCACTAGTCTGTAATTTATCTTCCTAATCCGGTTCTGGTCCGTGTACGTGATATTAAACAAGTCTAAATTACATTTTCAGCTCCATTCTGTTCGAGGAGTGCGCTCTTGAAGATCGAGATAACTACCGAGAGCGACCGCCCAAAAAAGCTATCTCTGATCCCTCTCAACATGTCCGACATGAGCATTGTAGCCATTTGAGAATTAGCCATCACGATTTGGTAACCTATCATCAGCCATAGAACACAGGCTTGCGGCCATGGTTAAGCGCAAGACCTACGCCCCCGTTCCGGGCCAGCACATCTCGGGGCAAGCCAACAAACCTCTATCCCAACCCCCCCACAGTTTGACGAGCCAACAGGTCCTCGATGAGTTATGTAGTAATTCGGCCACTGGACTTAGACCTGAGGAGGTCCCTCAGCGCTTGGAAGAAATGGGCCCCAATGAGTTGGAGCAGAAGGCTGGCGTCCAGCCAGTCAAGATTTTTGTCGAGCAGATATTCAACGCAATGACTTTGGTACGTGATCTCTGACAAGTTGTCTGGCATCGTGACCCTCCTAACAGTAGCCATTGGGCTCTTTAGGTCTTGTTGATGGCACTAGCCGCCAGCTTTGGCATCCAGGCCTGGATCCCTGGTGGTATCCTAGCTGGTATCATCATACTCAACATCTTCATCGGCTTCTTCCAGAGTCTTCAGGCTGAAAAGACCATCGATTCTCTTCGTACATTAGGCACGCCCACATGTAACGTCTTTCGTGGCGGTGAAACCATGACTATTCAGACCGCTGAGATTGTTCCCGGAGATATCGTTGACTTGGCCACTGGCGACTCCGTTCCTGCTGACATCCGGCTTATTGAAGCCGTCAATCTCGAAGCTGACGAAGCGCTGCTCACGGGTGAATCGGTACCTATACTAAAGATTCCAAAGTTGACGTTTGACGCCAAAACTGGTCCCGGTGATCGTCTTAATGTGGTATTCAGCTCGTCCATCATTACGAAGGGCCGCGGTCGCGGTATTGTTTTTGCCACAGGCATGTTTACAGAGATCGGTCTCATTGCCGGCGCGCTCAGCAGTAGCGGCAACGAGGTCAAAGAGCACCAAACTCGAGACAAAAAAACCCTGATTCATGTTGTCTGGGATCCCGTTGGTAGTTGGCTTGGAGAGTTCCTGGGCCTCACTGTCGGCACGCCCCTGCAGAAGAAGCTCTCGCAGCTCTTTCTGTCGCTATTCTGCTTTGCTATTGTCTGCGCCATCATCGTGATGGGAGCCAACGAATTCAATCCTAGCAAGGACGTCATTATTTATGCTATTACTACAGCAATAGGTACTATCCCAGTATCTTTGCTGCTAGTGCTAACCCTGACTATGGCGGCTGGCACAAAGAAGATGCTTGAACGACATGTCATTGTTCGAAATCTCTCTAGTCTCGAGGCTTTAGGGGGCGTCACTAGTCAGTATACCTGATCACTTATCTATGTTCAATACTAACCATCCAAGACATTTGCTCCGATAAAACGGGAACTATCACCCAGGGGCGAATGGTTACGCGAAAGGCGTGGATCCCAGGTTGTGGCACATATTCAGTTGAAGCGACGAGCGACGTGTACAATCCCACCGCCGGTCAAGTCTTTTTTCATGCCTCTCAGCCTACAGATCTTGCCGGTCCCAATGTTGAGGAGAAGCAAGGGACCTTGATCAATCCTCAGGAAGAGGTGACCTCCAAATTCAGCCTGCAGCAGTATCTTAATATCGCATCCTTGGCCAACCTTGCTTCTGTCGAACAGAGCAACAGCAGCTCCACAGACTCTGGCGAATGGAAGGTGAAAGGGGCTCCTACTGATATCGCCATCGAAGTGTTTGCTGGGCGGTTCGGCTTGAATCGCTTAGAGTTGTCGCAAGGCCAAAAAGCTCAGTGGAAGCATGTGGCCGAATACCCATTTGACTCTGACGTGAAGAAGATGACCGTCATCTTCCATCATATTGAGTCCAGCGAGACTCACATTTTTACAAAGGTATGCCCTTCTTAATGCATACCCAAATTTCATAGTGGAATCTAATTGTTGTTTTGTCTAGGGCGCCGTCGAGCGAGTCCTTGAATCCTGCAAATTCATCACTTTCAGCAATGAAACCCATCCGTTAACTTCCAAGACTAGTCGGGATATCCACCTCAATATGGAGACTCTCGCTAGTCAAGGCCTTCGTGTCCTGGCCCTGGCCCATAAAGTGAACGGCAGTATCGTCTATGAATCTGAATTTGCTGGCGATGTTGTCCCGGATCGCCAGAAATTTGAACAGGACCTTGTCTTTTATGGCCTCATTGGCATCTACGATCCTCCTCGCCCAGAATCTCTTCCCAGCGTTCGCGCTTGCCATGGCGCTGGAATCGTTGTCCATATGCTTACAGGCGATCATCCACAGACAGCTCAAGCCATTGCCGTTGACG